ATAAGTAAATAATGTACAGTTTGAATTATCTGACTTTCATTTAATTACTGGGGGGGCATTTAAATGCTGTGTGGTGTCCTGAGTTAGAAAGCACTGAACTCACTCAAAAGAAGAAATTGGAGGTTTGTAACTGTTGTGATTAGGAGGGAGTGCACAAGTTATTGTTGTGATATGTTGATGTTGGTGTGTGATGAGTTCAAATATTATCCTCAGTGTATATATATTTCATGTGCTTATGGCCCTATCTAGAGTCAGTGTTTGGTTTGTCCGTTCTGGGCTACTGTAGAAACATGGTGGTGCAACATGGTGATCAGACAAGGACCTGATGTAAACGTAGATGTAAACGGCTCATTCTAAGGTAATGTAAACACAAGTATTGTTATTTTCAGGCGATTATACACTAAAGAAAACATATTTATTATATTACATGCCATTTCTGCCAATATATCCCTCTAAATCCTACACACTGGACCTTTAATACAAAACACAAGAAAAAGAACACAAGCATACTATACTTATAGATCTATGTCTAAATGTCTTGTGCAGTATTACAGCCAGTTGAATAATATTTTGGTCCAAAAATTATTCAGTGTACCAGCCACAGGCAGAAAGACCACAAAGTTAATTTTTTAATTTTTCCCACATGGAAATTCCAATCAAGAGCAGCTTTCTCACACAAGGCATTTGATGTGGTCCGCTTGTAAATGCTGCCGTGAGAACACGAACCAACTCTAGGCAATTATACAACTTTGTAACAACATTAGTCCCTGATTCAGACCAAAGGAGATGACTCTAAGTCTGAAAGCAGCCTGACACTCAACAATATTACTAGCTTATTTTTCCAATATAACTGATCTTAAAACTTGAGGAATATATTCACTCTCCTGCCTGGTTAGTGTCAGTTCAGCTCACCTGCAGAGCAGCCACCTCACACTAAACTCCAGTATCAGCCTTCATTATTTCACTTTAGTTTTTTACACTTTCACTCACCTAAAACTACGTGATGACCTTTCTGCTTGCACCACCCTCACCAACAAAACACACACACACAAAGAAAACTATGTTGCACTGCCACACACCTCTTTCACTTCTGTGCTCATATTGATAAACCTTTAATACAGATAAGCTAAAACTTTGACTTTGACACCACCCCCTGGGGAGTTTTTACATTAACCTGACCACAACTGCTAAGCATCAAAAATCAACTTGGGACCTTGACTCTTATCTGTCTAACAATGTGGTTTTGCTTTATAATGAGCACTGCAGCCTCACAGAGCAGTGACTCTTGCTGTTGACTCTCTGTCTTTGCAGTTGGCTTATATAGATCTGAGACTTAGTTTGACGTCCCCCAAACAGCTTAAAAACAGCTCTGCACAATATGTTTTACAAAGTCTGCACAAGTCTTCAGCCTTTTAACTCTCCTGCACATTTTTAAAACATGTATGTATTGAAGCGTTTAAGGTTTAAGCCAGCTCTGTCACTGTTCTGTAACCCCTTTTCTACAGTCATGGGCTGGCTGGCTTGGTTTGGTTTGGGCCATTAGCTCAGCACAGCAGGGATTTGCATTTCCATTACATAGGGCTTCCTTTTTTAAGATGTGTCTTGAACTGACGATGGCTTGTCTTGAGTGATAATGTTTAAAAGCAGACTGCTAATCCACGGCTAAAGTCCCCTGTTATTTTTGCTTAGGAGAGGGATGTCATGCTGTGAAGCCCTCTGAGGCAAATTATGATTGGTGATTTTTTGCTTTAAATTGAAAATTGAAATTAAATTCTTAACAATGCTGTAGCAGAATGTTAATTTATATAGTGTACAGAAAGCAATGTTGATTATGTTCTTGTTCAGTTTCATTTCTTTGTCTAAAGTAAATCCCCAAAAGAACCAATAAGAGTAATGCTAAAGTACCAGATCAATAAACAGCATTGGTAAGAGTAGAAGTATTGTTAAAATCTAAACAACACCCATCCCTAAATGTGAGCCAGTGACTCAAACTCAAACTTTGTTTTGTTTTGGTTTTGTGTTCCTCAAAATCAGTACTAGATAGTACTGCACTGGACACATATCCTCATATCGGATTTTAGTGCTTTTTCAATTAAATGTAAATATTATTAAGGAAAATGTATGTTTTTTTTTCTTAATTAGCTACCACGTAGCCTGACCAAGTGACTCGAACTCAATCCTAAATATTATCACTGCACTGTACACACAAGACACACATCCTCATATTAGAATTTAGTGCTCCTATTTTACATAGCCCATGTCGAGGCTTGTTTTCACATGTTAAAAAAAAATGTTTCAATGAGTTTTCAGTTTAATTTCACTAGAATGTGGAGGCTCACACAGGTGTGACAGGTGCGTAGGAGGAAAACGTCCAAAGGCAAGAGAAGAGAGTTCCTAAAATTTCACAGATTCTATAAGTGGCTGCACGGTGGTTAAGTGGTTAGCACTGTTGCATCACAGCAAGAGGGTTTCGTGTTTGAATCCACTGGCTGTTCTCTTTGTGTGTGTGGGTTTCTCTGAGTTCTCTGGCTGCCTCCCACAGGTTAATTGGTGACTCTAATTCCCTGTAGGTGTGAATGTGAGTGTGAATAATTGTGTCAGCCCTGTGATAGTCTGGTGACCTGTCCAGGGTTTACCTCGCATGCCTCTCACCCAGTGTCAGCTGGGATAGGCTCCAGCCCCCATGCAACCCGGTGCCAAGGTACAGGTTTGCAGGGTATAGCTGAATTAATGAATTCGTAAGTCCTGATATGTTATAATGATATCTTATGATGGTTGTTCAGAAAGGCTTGGTGAGTGTTTCCTCTCTGTAGAAGGAACTCGACCATCAGAGGGAGACTCTTGCCTTCCCATTTGTGTGAATGATGAAGCACTCCTGCAGCACCCAAACACCTACATGTCACGAATAATTATATGCACCTGTACTTTGTGTGCTAAAACTATTTCTGTCACACAAGGAGCCTATTGTGGGGTGTTTTTTTTACACCTTAGTAGATCATGGGGACATTCACTGTTCACAAATGAATATTTTTAAACGTGTTCAACACAGAGTCTGCTTTTAGAAATCACCACATCAGAAAACCACATCCCCCATGACATGTTAGAACTTACAGTACAGGCCAAAAGTTTGGACACACCTTCTCATTCAATGCGTTTTCTTTATTTTCATGACTATTTACATTGTAGATTCTCACTGAAGGCATCAAAACTATGAATGAACACATGTGGAGTTATGTACTTAACAAAAAAAGGTGAAATAACTGAAAACATGTTTTATATTCTAGTTTCTTCAAAATAGCCACCCTTTGCTCTGATTACTGCTTTGCACACTCTTGGCATTCTCTCCATGAGCTTCAAGAGGTAGTCACCTGAAATGGTTTCCACTTCACAGGTGTGCCTTATCAGGGTTAATTAGTGGAATTTTTTGCTTTATCAATGGGGTTGGGACCATCAGTTGTGTTGTGCAGAAGTCAGGTTAATTCACAGCCTACAGCCCTATTGGACAACTGTTAAAATTCATATTATGGCAAGAACCAATCAGCTAACTAAAGAAAAACGAGTGGCCATCATTACTTTAAGAAATGAAGGTCAGTCAGTCCGGAAAATTGCAAAAACTTTAAATGTGTCCCCAAGTGGAGTCGCAAAAACCATCAAGCTCTACAACGAAACTGGCACACATGAGGACCGACCCAGGAAAGGAAGACCAAGAGTCACCTCTGCTTCTGAGGATAAGTTCATCCGAGTCACCAGCCTCAGAAATGGCAAGTTAACAGCAGCTCAGATCAGAGACCAGATGAATGCCACACAGAGTTCTAGCAGCAGACCCATCTCTAGAACAGCTGTTAAGAGGAGACTGCGCGAATCAGGCCTTCATGGTCAAATAGCTGCTAGGAAACCACTGCTAAGGAGAGGCAACAAGCAGAAGAGATTTGTTTGGGCCAAGAAACACAAGGAATGGACATTAGACCAGTGGAAATCTGTGCTTTGGTCTGATGAGTCCAAATTTGAGATCTTTGGTTCCAACCGCCGTGTCTTTGTGAGACGCAGAAAAGGTGAACGGATGGATTCCACATGCCTGGTTCCCACTGTGAAGCATGGAGGAGGAGGTGTGATGGTGTGGGGGTGTTTTGCTGGTGACACTGTTGGGGATTTATTCAAAATTGAAGGCACACTGAACCAGCATGGCTACCACAGCATCCTGCAGCGACATGCCATCCCATCCGGTTTGCGTTTAGTTGGACCATCATTTATTTTTCAACAGGACAATGACCCCAAACACACCTCCAGGCTGTGTAAGGGCTATTTGACCAAGAAGGAGAGTGATGGAGTGCTGCGGCAGATGACCTGGCCTCCACAGTCACCGGACCTGAACCCAATCGAGATGGTTTGGGGTGAGCTGGACCGCAGAGTGAAGGCAAAGGGGCCAACAAGTGCTAAACACCTCTGGGAACTCCTTCAAGACTGTTGGAAAACCATTTCAGGTGACTACCTCTTGAAGCTCATGGAGAGAATGCCAAGAGTGTGCAAAGCAGTAATCAGAGCAAAGGGTGGTTATTTTGAAGAAACTAGAATATAAAACATGTTTTCAGTTATTTCACCTTTTTTTGTTAAGTACATAACTCCACATGTGTTCATTCATAGTTTTGATGCCTTCAGTGAGAATCTACAATGTAAATAGTCATGAAAATAAAGAAAACGCATTGAATGAGAAGGTGTGTCCAAACTTTTGGCCTGTACTGTATATATAGTGCTTCTCAACTGATAGAATAATGACCAGTGGGTGTACACAAGCAAACAAATGGTCAAGGCACATACGCAGAGATGATGTACAAGGATTTTATTGTGATCTCATATCTACATTTGAGGTAGGGTGGTGTCACACAGGAAGTCCTGTTTGAACACATAACACATAGTAGGTTGTGTTTTCTTTCACTTCTCATAAAACAGGTCAGCGACAGAGGAGAGGATCTATACTACTGTAACCTATTTACAGACACAAAATGAACAAATCCTCCTGTCCTCGTGTCAACTTTGACTTTACAGGCAGATTTCTGCCTCCCGTTTACATCATAGTCTTCATCGTTGGTCTGGTAGCTAACGGATGGGGACTGAAGTCTTTGCTACAGAAATGGAAGAAACTGGGTAACATCAATGTTTTTGTTCTTAACCTTGGACTTGCTGATATTTTGTACCTGCTCACTCTCCCGTTTTTGGTGGTGTACCACTTTATGAAGAGTAAATGGATCTTTGGAGACGCATTCTGCAAGATAACAAGATTCTGCTTCAACCTGAATCTATATGGCAGCATCGGGTTCCTTACTTGTATAAGTGTGTACAGGTACCTGGCCATTGTCCATCCAATGAGAGTGATGGGAAGAATAACTGTCACCCACTCTGTGGTGATCTCAGTCATGGTTTGGCTGTTGGTGAGTGTTCAGAGTCTCCCAGACGTGTTCTACACCAAAACATATGGAAACAAGCCTGGGAAATGTTATGAAACCACCCATAAGCGCTATGTTGAGAGTTACCTGAAATACAGCCTTGGATGGACACTCACTGGGTTTTGTATCCCATTCCTCATCACACTGGGCTGCTATGGACATGTGATTGTTGTTCTCTGCCGCACAAATACCACTCACAAGGTACTGAAACAGAGAAGTCTGAAGTTGTTGTTCATCTTGATTCTTCTCTTCTCTGTTTGTTACATCCCCTATCATGTTTTAAAGAACCTCAACCTCTGGTCAAGAGTTCTGTCCAAACAGAAAATATGTGCTGAATGGTCCAATGGAGTCTACATCGCTCATCAGATAAGCCGCGGCCTTGTGTGTCTGAACGGTGCTCTCAACCCTCTGGTTTACCTCCATGGTAATGAGAATTTTCTTGCTAGTACTAGACAGCTGCTCCAGCAAGCTCATCAGACGTTCAGTCGTGTGTTTTTTTCAAACTCCGGCAGTGTGCCTGTGCCACAAACTGCAGATGAAGCTGAACACGAGTTATGATTTCAACCTAAACTATCAAATGACAAATAGCTCAAACAGCATGCAGCTGTCCATCACAGCTGATGGAGTGAATTAACTGCTGTGTGATTGAAACTGTCAGTCATTTTCTCACACGTTGCTTTCTTTGCCTGAAGAACAAGTTTTCTGTACAGTTACTTTTTATCTTTTTGTAAGTCATAATGTGGTTAACACATGCTGATAAATGTTGCAAATAAAGGGGAAATTCAGATAAACTCTTGATGTGTCATTGTTTTCTTTCAGAACAGGTTTGTGTTGTGATGAGGATCAGATCATGTGTTAGGGGGTGGGCCCAGTTGCTTGTATGGTTTCTGTTCATTAAAACAGGAACTTGTTAAAGAAATATAAGTGTCTTCTTCGTACACTGTATACAGGATTGAAATTGTTATTTCTTAATTGACTTGACAAGTATGCATCAACTGTATACTTGCTAAGAAAATTCCATCTCTGAAACAGTTCTGCAGATATCCTTGAAAATGACAGGATAAAAGTAAATAACAGACTTAATGAGGCATAGTGACAGTTCAGGCAGAGCACAAGCGTATGTTCGTATTGGCTGATTGGCATCAGTTGTTTCATATGTCGTATGTTTCACAACCATTGGCTCATGCACAGCTGTGTGGCTGTAAACTTTCAGTCACATCATGCAGATGAACAGTGGAACCATTAAATTCCCCTCATGCCACTGCTGTGTGCTGTTTCAGTTCCTGTAAATTGCTGTACATTTTAAGAAACAGTTCACAAATATATACAGTAGTTTGAAAAGATATATTGATAACAGTAGCCACTAGATGTTACACTTCCCCTCCCCCCCTTTAGTTGCATTCATGTCACCACACTGCTGTTGTTCAAAGCATCCTGAGAGCAGGGGTGATCTTCAGGAGCTGTTTATAAGTGTGTAGGCCTATCGTCTGTGGGACAGATGTAAAGCTCTGGGTAGCCCTGCACTAACCTGATCAACTTTTCCGTATTTATCAGACTGAATATTTACAGAAGAAGGGAAAGATATCTGTCAGCTGTGATTGGTTTGTAACCTGACTTCTGTCTGACTGCTGAGCGTGGACACTTCCTGTGTCTGTCCTTAATTAAATTTCCACACAGTCCAGTCATAAAGGTTGTAATTTATGTTGACAAGGCACAGCTCCTGATAGAGTTTCACGTTTTGTTTTTTGTTTTTTGTTTGTTTGTTTGTTTGTTTGTTTTTTCTTCTGTGAACAAGTGACCAATGAAATCTTGCCGACTAATGACCTTTCTGGTCAACTAACGTCTGGTCCACTATTGGGGGACAGCCCTATACTAAACAAACATTTTCACCTTCTATCCCAGGCTTTTGGTTTTATGTCTCATCATATTTTGGGGAGACCACTGATTTAAATTACCCACAAATAAAGACAATGCTATTTTCTATCAATACACTTCAATCCTTTTTTCATACTGATACACTAAATATTGCAGTTAAACACTCAATCCACCAGTCATCGCAAACCAAATTCCATTTTCCAAGTTAACAATTGAAAGTTTAAATATTTAATTCAATCCAATTCCTTTTTATTGTCATTGTAAATGAATACGATGAAATTCAGTGCACAGAATAAAACAGGACTCATTTTAAAAGTAGTACATAAATAATAAAGGAGGGGATAAAATGTAATTCATTCGTACTTTAAACACGTGCACACTGCACATACATGCACGCACACATGCATATGCACGCACCAGCAGTGCCAACATATGCCGTGAACATAAAATAAGTTACAATTATTTGCACATAAAATAAATAAGTGAATAAAGTTATTGCACATGATGCAAGTGTGAATATTAAAGATTACTGGCTGTGTGATTTCAGTGCAGCGTTCAGTGTTGTTATGGTTTTGGGGTAAAAACTGTTCAACAGTCTGCTGGTGTGTGTTTTATGATGGGCAGGGTGAGATGAGTCCGCTCAGGATATTTGTTGTTTTCTGGAGGCAGCAGGAGATAAAAAATGTCCTCCAGGGCAGGTAGGTGTGTGTTCGTTATTTTCTGTGCAGCTTTTATCACTCACTGCACTCTCTGACCCTCTTGTCAGTTGCAGAGCTGCTGCTGTAGTCAGGACACTTTCTACAGAGCAATGATAGAGGGACAGCAGCAGTGGTTGTGACAGGTTGATCTTCCTGAGTGCTCTCAGGAAGTGTAACCACTGCTGTGCCTTCCTGAACAGACAGTTTGTGTTGTGTGCCCATGTGACGTCCTCTGAGATATGTGTACCCAGGAAATCGAAGATTTACACCCTCTTCACATCTTTTCCATTTATCTCCAGAGGCTGATGATCATCCTTTGTCCTCCTGAAGTCGATGATCATCTCCTTTGTTTTCCTGGTGTTCAAGGTCAGGTTATTAACTGTGCACCATCCTGTCAGCCTCTACACCTCCTCCCTGTGAGCTGTCTCGTCTCCTCTGCTGATCAGGCCCACCACTGTTGTGTCATCTGTAAATTTAGTAATGACATTGGGGTTGTGGGTAGGCATGCAGTCGTGTGTAGAGGGAGTACAGGAAAGGGCTCAGGACACAGCCTTGTGGTGCACCTGACATTGAGGAGGAGTGGTGGGGGCACATCCTAACTCACTGTGACCAGTTGGTTAAGAAGTCCCATATCCATAGACAGATGTTGTAATGGAGGCGTAGGTTGGACATCCTGTGAAACAGTGCTTGGAAGGATCGTATTAAAGGCAGAACTGTCGTCACAAATAATACCCTTGCATATGTTCCTGGCTTTTCCATTTATAAGTTACTTTTACAAATATCTCTCAGTTACTTTCGAAATCTAAGTGAACCACTGTTCACATCACATTAACTGTATGCCTGATTATTCAGTGCACACATGGCCATATTGCCTCCTAAGTTACCATGTGACCAGTTGCTGACAAGCAACGTATCATTGAAGTCTATTTTTGTAAACAGAGTCAGACGCAGTGCTCACACCAAATACAACACAGCAGGGCCAACACCCATCTAGTAAACTTCAATGAGAGCAAAGCAGCAACACTGATCTGTTTATAGTCTCTGGTCTTGATTGGCTGAAAACACAAAAACACTAAATCTGTTAATATGTCAGCGTGTTGTTAACTCTCCAGCCTGTTTGTAACCACAAGCCTGCTGCCAATGTTGTCTTCACTTTATCTGTTCAGCTGACTTCAGTAGTTTAGATAACAGACACCTGACTATATTGCTGTTATCACAGACGTGAACAAACCACAGACACGCCTCGTTCTTTTACTTACAGCTGTGAGCTGCTGCAGGATTAATATAGGGGAAACACTGGAATGGATATTTGGCATTATTTTTGACATTAAAACAATAATATCATTTTGGCATGGCGGGGGATCCTGTTGTACAATTAAAGGGGAAATGGTGACATTTTCATCTCTTTCATTAATCAAGAAAATCTGAACAGCTGATTGTCTTCGACAAGCAACTGTCCTTTTATACAGTAAAGATTGAGGGTGAGAAACACATATTGTTTGAGTTAGCTGGGGGTTTGCACTCACATTTCTGTGACCAAACATTAAAAAGAGGTGTTAACAGAAAGTCCTGTTAGGTTATGTCTTTGTCTCACCTGTCATCAGTCAGCTTGCATTTGCAGAAAACAATGACTTCCTCTGCTGGTGAAGTAAAATCTGATATACACAAGGGCAATGCCAAATTTGCTTTGGTCTTACTGGCTGACCTCTTGTCTGTGTGTCATACAGGAGGCACAAAAGTTAGATCCCTCTTTTGGGGGCAACTGTTTGACTGTGTGGCATCAATGTCTGAGTGCTTTTCTGGTGCTAGTGGTAATGACACTGTTGTTGTCCATGGGATGGGTTTGGCTCCTACCTTATCTCCACTTCACAAAAGCTGGTTTCAGGTTTGGTGTGTGGTGAAAGGTCAGCTGGTGTCAGCCTAAGTTTCCAGTTGAAGGGGCTGAGATGATCCTGGGAAATGATTTAGCTGATGACCATGTGGGTAACATGGCTAAACATTTTCCAGCTAGTGCAATTATTAGTGCCGCGACCGGTGCCAACTCTGACATCACTCAGGGAAAAGAGGCAAAAAAATAAGTCATCCGTTATGTATACCTGTACCAGCGCAATCCATTGCTCACAGTGAGTTGCCAGAGGACGCTACTGGAGTTGCTAGGGCAGAAGTACAATAGGCCCAGAGCAGGAAAGCATCAGTTGGCCATGTGCTAAGCAGCACCAGTTTTGCTTGTGCAATCAGGTTCTGTTTTTTTTGCTACAGGCGGATTTGCTGTTTCAGGCTTGGTTTTTGTGGTCCATCTGCGGTTTCATGTCAGGTTTCTGAGAGGATCTCTCTGGCAAGGGATCGCTTATGAATCTCAGCTAGCAATCACTGATGAAAGTTTAATGCATTAAACATGACGTTAACGTACCTTGTTGTGTCGGATCCACTTGGCGAACTTGATGCATACACTGGTTGTTTTGTACTGAGATGTTTTAGCATTGAGGACGTGCTATTGTGGTATGCTAACTTTGTTTTGCAATACACACTGAACTGTTTTCTTTTCGTTTTGACTTGTGATGATCCCACACTCTACACTTCTGTTGTTTTCTTTGGGGTGTCAATCGCTCTTTTCTTGTCCCTCTTCCTCCATAGTTGCAGGAAGTGCATCATTGACTAATTATACCATGTGTGCTGCTGCTCCTCGGCTATATAGGCTGCTGGAGTCAGTCAGTCTGTCTCTGTCACCCTGGACATATGGTTTGTTGTCTGTTTTTGGTTGTTTCCTTTTGTGTTTATTTTATTTTTTCCTTACACTTCACCATACACTTTGAATGTGAGTGTAAATGTTTGTCTGTCTCTCTGTATCAGCCTTGCGATAGTCTGGTGATCTGTCCACGGTGCACTCCGCCCACCTCCTACCGAGTGACAGCTGGGATAGGCTCGAGCCCCCTTGCCTCTGTACCAGGTTACCAGGAGAAGCAGTTACAGAAAATGAATGAATGAATTTGTAAGTCCTGCTAAGTTCTAATGATTATTCAGAAAGCCTTTGCAAGTGTTTTCTCTCTGAAAAAGGAACTTGGCCATCAGAGGGAGACTCTTACCTTCCCATTTGTGTGAATGACAAAGTACTCCTGCAGGCCCCAAACACCTACATGTCAAGTATGATAATCTACATTTAGGAAAGCATGGCGTCACACAGTCAACAGGAAGTCCTGTTCTTTGACCACATAGTAGGTTGTGTTTTTTTTCCACTTCTCATAAAACACATCAGCGACAGAGGAGAGCATTTGTACTAACCTATTTACAGACACAAAATGAACAAATCCTCTTGTCCTCGTGTCAGCTTCGACTTTACAGGCAGATTTCTGCCTCCTGTTTACATCATAGTCTTCATCGTTGGTCTGGTAGCTAACGGATGGGGACTGAAGTCTTTGCTGCACAACTGGAAGAAGCTAAAAATCATCAATGTTTTTGTTTTCAACCTTGGACTTGCTGATATTTTGTACCTGCTCACAGTCCCATTTTTGGCGGTGTACTACTTTATGAAGAGTAAATGGATCTTTGGAGACGCATTCTGCAAGATAACAAGATTCTGCTTCAACCTGAATCTATATGGCAGCATCGGGTTCCTTACTTGTATAAGTGTGTACAGGTACCTGGCTTTTGTCCATCCATTGAGAGTGATGGGAAGAATAACTGTCTCCCACTCTGTGTTTATCTCAGTCATGGTTTGGCTGTTGGTGAGTGTTCAAAGCCTTCCAGACATGTTCTACATCAAAAGATACAGCAAGCCATATGGAAACAACACTGAGAAATGTTTCGATACCACGGATAACATCTATGTTGAGAGTTACCTGAAATACAGCCTTGGATGGACACTCACTGGGTTTTGTATCCCATTCCTCATCACTCTGGGCTGCTATGGACATGTGATTGTTGTTCTCTGCCGGACAAATACCACTCACAAGGTACTGAAACAGAGAAGTCTGAAGTTGTTGTGCATCTTGATTCTTCTCTTCTCTGTTTGTTACATCCCTTATCAGGTTTTCAAGAACCTCAACCTCTGGTCAAGAGTTCTGTCCAACCAGAAGATATGTGCTGAATGGTCCAATGGAGTCTACATTGCTCGTCAGATAAGCCGCGGCCTTGTGTGTCTGAACAGTGCTCTCAACCCTCTGGTTTACCTCCATGGGAACGAAGATATTCCCGCTCAGATCAGACAGCTGCTCCAACAAGCTCATCAGATGTTCAGCCGTTCACCTCCAACAAACTCTGGCGGTGTGTCCATGGCACAAATTGCAGATGGAGATTAACACAAGATGAACATGTTTAACAGTAACATGATAAACATTATATTGTGTATGTCATAACTGAAAAAGGAATAGTGATTTAAAAATAATAATGATAAGAATTCTAAATAAAATCAAGAGCTCTGTCCAAACAGAAGATATGCCAAAAATGGTTTCATGAAGCCGTCATTGCTCACCAGATAAGTTGTGACCTTGTGTGTCTGAACAGTGCTGTCAACCCTCTAGTTTGCCTTCATGACAGTGAAGATAGTCCTGCTCAGCTCAGACAACAACTCCAGCAATCTGGCTGTGTGCCTGTGGCACAAACTGCAGATGAAGTTTAACACAAGTAAATATGTTTCATAGTAATTCCGTGAAAAGTGTGCAGTTAATGGCACCCATGGTAATTGCAAGTGTGCTTCTTGTAAAAATTATGAAACAGTCTCATCATCACATTGTCTTTATTGCAAAGGTCTGTAATTCTTCCTTGTGTCATTGTGTCCATGTTCATTTGTAATCATGTATGTAGATAAATCTTTGTTTTCAAAAACAATAAACTCACCGTCTCATATTTTATATTTGTATTTTTTTTTAGTTGTGAATGAATGATAATGACAATTAAATACCATAAAGGGAAAGCATAACAACAATGTGGAAGTAATTTATGATTCTCTTTAATCACCATACAGTGTAGGAAATTTGCAAAGATCATAAAACCATTCCTGCTAATTGGTTGTTTTTTGCAAAAAGGCAGTTCAGCAGAAAATAGTGCTAGTAATTCAAACATTTAAAGCTATTATATAATTTCTAACACTTCCCCACTAATATAATCATGTAGTTTCTGTATGTGATTCCTGTTATCATTCCTTTTTTTCTGTACCACTGTAAATTACAGATCTGTTTTGTCTGACTCTCATCAACAGTCTTCAGCTTGCATCATTAATTGGTCATCTATTCATTCTTTGTTTTGGATGTGGACTTTTTGTTTCTTATCACACATCTAATGAGACACCTACAGGAAACCCAAACTAATGTGATGATAAGCAAACCAAATGCTACAAAGACTGCCATCACATCGAGACAGTGATAGGCATACCATGGCAACTTATACGACTCAGTGCGCAGATGTGCTGCGCCCTTGTGCCTCATGATGTACTCAATCCAGAAAATGGCACTATCAAGGGGTTTCATTGGTTTGTCTCGATGGAGCTGTGACAGTTTGAGCATGTTCTGTTTGTATGGCTTTTCTGGGTCGAGAATATTCTTAAGAGCACTTGTCAGAGACTCAATATCCAAGGTGGTCACTTCAACAAACTCAGCTACTCCCCGGGACTTCAGACGCACTATGTTGTCGAACTGGTCAAAGATGAGAGGAATGCCCAGAACTGGGACACCATGATAGATGGCTTCGTAAATTCCGTTAGTACCCCCATGTGTGACAAAAACCTTGGTTTTAGGGTGACCGAGTAGATCGTTTTGAGGCAGCCATTCAACCAGCATGGTGTTGTTTCCCAGAGTGACAGGTCTTTTCCCCATGTGCCTCCATATGACCTTATGAGGGAGGTTAGCAAATGCTGAAGCGATGATCTCTGATATCTCAGGGCCGAGGTCACTCAGCAGGGTCCCCAGAGTCATGATGACCACCCCATGTTCTCCAGAACTCTGCACAAAATCCTCTAAATCTGATGGAAGAGGCTTGGAAGGCTTACCCTGAAAGCCTCCGATGTAGACGACATTGGGCATGGTGGGGCGAGGGAACTCAAATGTAAAGTCAATCCGCATTAGCCAAAGTTCAGCTCCCTGTATGAGAGACATGCTGCTGACATCAGGTCCAAAATAATGATCACACACAGCCTGGTAAGGCGGATTTGAGACATAGTAATACATGTAAACCAGTATGTAATGACGGATTACATTATCGACTCTTTGGAAAAAGTTCATCTTGTCAGAGAAGTCAGAGAACAACTGGGGGACGTAGGACAGAGGAGACGGAGCGATGGCAAAGTGGGCCTCCCCTCTGAAAAGCCAGCGCACATTGAAAACCATGGGAAGCTGGAGATAATGTGCCACCAGCACTCCACCCGGAAATGCAGGGTCAGTCAAAAGAAGATCATATCCAGTTTCCCGTAGCTCCTTAATCAGTGTCTTATTCTCAAAGATGCTGACGACCAGTTTTGCCACAGTGTGCTGGTTCTCCCCTATCATGTTGAAAAGATTCCTATAAAACTCCAGATATGCCCACAGTGTGCCTTTATGCCGACGGATTTCTATTGACCTCTTTAAGAAAGAGGTCATAAACTCCTGGCTTTCCACGTTTTGGGACTGTTCCTGAGGGATGGTGATGGAGGTGTAATGGGGTGAGAATTCTGAAACATACCAACTGGTAGAGGTGCGCAGTACTGTTATTTGATGGCCCTGAGAATGAAGCGCCTCCACCAGGATTTTCATGTTAAGCCAGTGACTTCCATCTATAGGGAAAACCAGCACTTTCCCACCATCACAACTGGAGGACAGAGTAGCTGAAAACAGCAGGGTGAACACCAGGGCTGGATGTGACCCCATGGCTGTAAAAGATACACAGAACTTTACTCCACAAATATTTGCAGTTCATGCAGTGCTTAATCTAAAAAACAAACAAACAAAAAAAAAAAAACAACACATTTGCAGGAAGTGATATGGGAACAAGTTTGCTTTTATATTTCATTGTATTCACAATTTGTTCTTATTTTCTCATTACCCATTGATTTCTGTGATCCACCAATGTTTTCTTATTTTTGCTCTTTTTTTTAAGGTAAGGGGAAAATTTTGTGAGTTGTTGAGAGTACTTTTACCAAGATGAGATTAAATCATCTCATCTTCACAGTCCACGAATTGTCCAATGCAAGGAAGCATATATTTTAAAATCAAAATTTAAATTTAAAATTGTGGCGGCCCGCCACAAATAAATGAATGCGTGGGGAAACCCTGATATTGCTGTGGAAACATCAAAAAAATTTCTACTGTATTCATTCAAGTTTGTCGACAAACACTTCATTTTACAAGATTACTTTGAACACATTATGAGAACATCAATATTTACCTTCAGTCAATACTTGCCTTTACTTGGTAGAGCTTGAACACATCATAATGTAAAACAGGATTTATACTTCTGCGTCGAATCAATGCTGTACCTACGCTGTAACCTGATGTGCACCTTCCCAGAAATGTAACTAACTACATGTTGCAGTGACGCAGACCTCCTGTCTATGTTTGTAAGCTGACACCATTTCCCTCAGTGGAAACAAAGCTTTTATTTACTTTTATTTCACAGATAAGAAACAATATATTGTGAAGACAATAAAGCCTCCACAAAATAGCATTTTAAGTCTTGTGTGTGATTTATCCTGGCTTCATATGAGTTGAGGAAATCTCCGCTTGTCACTAGGCTAATTTAGCAATGTATAATGCCATAGGCTTGTGCTAATAATGTTAGCATGTTGTATTTGTTTGGAAAACGTGTTTCGTATAAAGGCCCATTTATGCTCAACGTTAAATACGGATCTGGATACGGACGGAGCCTTCTGTCTGTGCTCCACATTCATTTCGTCCTTATTTCTGCACGTTTCCATAAAGCTTACGGATACGGGCCAAACGGAGCAGTACCACAGGGAACCGTGGGGGCAGTGTTGCTGTCACTACCCGATACGTAGCTCTAGTGAGACACGAAGAAGAAATAACAATTCAATTTCTTTCATCGGCAGTACTAGAGAAAAGAATTCTCCGTCCTCCAGTCGCGATGTATTTAACGGCCTCACCGACCACCGCCTCCTACAACGCTCCCTCTGTTTTTGTCTTTTATGCAAGAGGTACATTATCAATATCTCCTCCACAGTCGCCATGTTTGTTTTTGAATTTGTTGTTGTCATAAACTTTTGACGCTGGGCTGCCTCCTGGTGGATATATTGGTTAACATCCATGCCAACGTAAAGGGCGCGTGGAAGTATGTGGGCAGTGACGGTAACATCGTTTGAAACGGATGTATACATTTTCGTACGTAAAGGGAGCATAAATGGGCCTTTAGATAGTTGTTTTGTCAGTGAACCTTGTGAGTTGTAATGGAGCTGAATTTTGTAACGTTACCTTTGTTAAATGTTGCTGTTGTCCCTGACTTCATATGAGTAGAGGAAAAGTCTGATAGCTGCTAGGCTAATTTATACAGTGTAAAATGCCATAGGCTTGTGGGGAAAAAGTGTCCAGAGAAAGACTAATGCTTCGTCTGTGAATGCTGCGAGATTTAGTGAGTCCAATTTGTGTACTTGATTTTGAAATTGTCTCTATTAAGCCGTATTAAACCCCACCACTGATGATTGTTTTGGAGGTGTAACTGCAGAGTGGCACAAACACAGCACCATACAAGTATAAATGCTCACAACCTCGTAGGCCACGTGCATAGGCTATACTTTTTTTTAATTAGAGTCTATTTCAGATGTTTTTAAAGGTTATGTAGAAGTTGCCCTTCAACATCAACAAGCTGATACTCGCCCACCACTCCTTTCCCATCTGTTTTCCAACTATGTTACTTCTGCAACACTTGTGTGCCTTTAGTGCTTGGTGTGCTTCTGTTCAGCCTCCTGCCACACTTTTTTTTCTACCTTTAACCTTCTGCTACAGTTTGTTCTGTGTGCAGTCTCTCAATCAGTTATTTTTCCTGGAACTGTTAAGTAATGTTCAGCAACAATTAGTCAAGTCAAAGTCCTGGTGCACATGGTACATGACAGTATCATACATCAGTGCCCTGTACTACACAAGCATGAAATCATGTTGCAAAGTCTTGACAGGGTGCACAGCATGTTAAAATCTAAAATGTTAAAATAAACACACTGAAATTAAAGCCCACAGAGGTTGCATGATAAACATTGCAGTGTCCAGAGTGAAATATGTGATTCATCTAGTCAAAAAATTTGTCTGCAAATAATCTTTCATCTTAAACTGTAATGTAGGGCACAACCACACACCACTTTGAAATGCAGTACACAGGATATAGC